GCCGAGCCGACCTGCAACGCCTGGTGGTGGCCGGCCACTCGCGCGGCGCAAAGCTGGCGGCACTGCACTACGCAGCGTCGCTCGCCTGCCACGCCGGCCGAAACGGCGCCCACGCCGGCGCGCCCGTGCCGCCGCAGCCTGCGCACCCGTATGCCGTGCGGGCCGCCTTCCTGATGGACCCCGGTGCGCGGTGCGGGGCGCCATGGGAGCGCGCCTTGCCCTGGCGTTTTGTGTGGTTTGTCCCGGATGCGGTCCACGGGCCGCAATCGGCCTCCAGGCGTTGCAGCAGTGTCACAGCGCAGCCCTGGAAATCAGCGCACAAGCCGTGCTCTGTCCGCACATGGACGTCGTTGCTCAGCCCATGATGCCCCTGCCGCCTCGCGTCCCTCGATCAGCCTCTGCCGCCGTGCCGCCCTCCTGCCTTGTGTCCACCCCCAAGAAGACCAGCAGCGCCCAGCAAACGCACCCAACTAAGCTGAATGGTCCCTACACTCCCTTAAACCTCCCCTGCTCCCACCGTCCAGTGGACAATACGCGCCAGACACCCGAGAGCGCCGCTTACCCCAGCGCCTGCAAGGCCCTGGCCGCCACCAACGCGAGCGTCGCCATCGCCGGCGCGGGCGTGATCGGTGCCACCAACCCCGACGGCAGGTGGGGGGGCTGCGGGGCCTGCGGGCTGGCGAGCTGCGGGGCTCGTGTGCGGCGTGGCCCAGGGCCGTGCGAGCGCGGCGTGGCCCTGTGCTCGCCTGCGCCCATCCCAGAGGTCGGGGCAGCTGGTGTGGCCTCTCGTGCAGACGCTGCCGCCCATTCCATTGCGCCGTCTTGTTGTCATGTTGCTCCCCTCCCCTCTCCCGATGCCTCCCCTGCCACCCCGCACCCACCCTTGACGGTGATGGGCCTCACGTCTCCTCTGGCGCAGCAACTGGCGCCGCTTCTGGGCCAGCGCTGGCCCCGGCTCCTGGCTCAGCGTCATCAGCCGCGCCGGGCACACCAAATGGCTGCAGGGGTCGCGCGCGGAGTGCTGGTGCCTCGACCGGGCGTTCAGCGGCGGCGGCGCGGCGCGCGAGGTGGTGCTGGCGGCCACGGCCGCGTGCATGGTCGCGTGGTTCAGGCAGCAGCTGGCGGAGGCCTCGATGCCGCACCCGCAGCAGCAGCAGCGGCAGCAGCAGCAGCAGCAGCAAGGCGGGCGCGAGGTCAACGCCGAAAGCAAGGCGCTGGCCCAGCAGCCCGCTGCACGGCAGGTGGCAGTGTCCGCCGCGGCCACCCACGGCGCCGCAGCGGTGGCGCCGCCGCCCTGCGCCCCGGGTTCGCCGCGCGGCGCGCCGTTGCCGGAGGCGCTTGCGCCCGCGCTGGGGCCGCTGGTGGAGGCGGCGGAGCTGGTGTTCAGCATCAAGGGGGGTGCCTCCGCCACATCGCACCCCCTGGAGGCTTGAGCTTGACAGGTGGTAGCTTCCGCAGCCTTTCCTGCCGCCATGCGTCCCGATGATCACAGTTGATCTCAGCTCTCGAGACAACGGCGGCCTCAGGCGCGACAGGCCGTGTCGCGCCATGGCCCCAGCAAACGGTGCCCACGGCAACAGACTCAGCAGGGGCCAGCGCAGTTGCAGGCTGGCGGCGCTCATGGTTGCGCTGAGCT